TTGAATGAAAAATTCGACAAGAAATATTCTGTAACAAAACATGTGAAAATAACACTAGTTAATTCCCATATTGATTTGATATTATTGGAGATCGATAATGTACAAATAATAACGGGGTATAAATCTCCATCATTTGATAATGGAATTTTTTTCGAAAAGTTAGAATCGATGTTCAAATTGATGAGAGTGAATACTAAACAGATATTGATTGGTGATTTTAATTTCAACTTATTCAAGCCCAGTAATTTTTTCGAGAATTGGTTGAACATCCATAAATTTCAACGAGGACTGGGATTATATATTTCAACAACAAATTTCAATTCCCAAATAGATGTGATATTTGTTAATAACATATCTAAATATATATATCAGGAGCTTACGAATCCATTTTTTCCTACCACAAACCTATATTCATTGGATTATTTACAACTGAAAATGATCCAGTGATTGTAGAAACTATCAATAAAACCAATAATAACATTCATATTGAACTGCAAATGAATAATACTGACAAAAGAACGGAAATGATCGCCAAACATGGGCTGAGAAATGAGACATGCACATCGAATATAAATAACTCTACTCAAGAAAAAATTAAAATGAGAAAATTCAATTCAATTCTGAAGAACGGTAATATTTGTAATTTCATTCGACTAAAAAGCTAACTATTTCATTTGATTAATACTTGTGGCTTCGACAGCATTATCCATGTATTGGTTCTAGCTTGTGATAACACAAATTTTCGGAATCATGTTATTAATAATGGAAGTGTTGAATTCAATTTAATTGAATCGATGTATACAAACAATGAAATTTATATGCAAGATTTTGAACAAATGAGATTGAGTATATTTATCGAAAAACAATATTTCATCACCAGACAATCTGTAGATTCTGGAGTGATCATATTCAATGCTGTTTTAACAGTGCCAGATTTATGTGAGATTGTATTCAATACTAATCCAAGCTATTCATTTGAAATATCGTGTCCCATATGCGGAAAAAAAATTGATAAAACATTGATTTCTCTGGATTTGGATGCCATCATGATACTAAATTACCCAGGTTTGAAACAAGTTCTGAATATAACTTTTGAAAAAAATTTGGATAAAATCAGCTTGCAAGAATATATTTCATGTGACAAATGTATTATAGAGGGACTTTTTTTTCATCATCAGCTTTTCATAGAATGTCCATCGGCTTATAAATTGAAAGTAGCACTTTCAAATTTTCCACAAGTTCTGCGAATAAATATGGAAAACTATATTTTAGCTGGAATTGTTAAATATATAGATCCAGAAGATATTCGTAATGATTGTACTGGTCATTATACGACTTATGTCTTGAAAAATAATAATTGGATTGTGATTGACAGTTCAGTACCTAATCAGATTCGTGAAGTGGATTCGACTCACACAATCAATCCTCATTTGGCAATATACATAAAAGATGAAAATATCCAAGTTAATGAAGACATAATTAATAAGGAAGATATAAATATTGATCTTGAGAAAGTTGAAGAACAAATAGATAATACTAACAATGTCAATAACGGAACGAGTGAACCAGAGATGATTCTAGAAATTTCGAACGAAAAAGTGAGGACGCGAAAAATTACAATATTAAAAAATGGTAATATTTGTGATTCAATTGAATATCAGGATCAGATATTTGATTTGAAGAATAGTTGTGGCTTTGACAGTATAGTTCATATATTAGTTTCAGCTTATGATAATGACCTATTTTATGGGACCGTAGTCAATTATGAGAGTAATGAATTCAAATTAATTAAGGTACAATGAAAGCGAAGAACCCCACGAAAGACCCACCAGCTAATTATATTCATCTGAAAGAGCACATTTTCTTCTATTTTTCAAATTTTTTTTCGAATTTTTCACTTCTTCATTAAAAAAATATGATTAATTTAAAATGTATACGGCGCAATGGGTGCGGAATGAAAATCGACGATTTTTACCGGAAGTGAGTTGCCTACAAAAAAAATTAACGAAAGATCCTGAAAAAAAAACCCACCACTGTCAAGACTGGTGTTCGCTCGACATCTCCTGAACAATTCGACCCACTTTACCACGGATTTTTTTTTTTTACGGCCTCGAAGTCCCTTTTTCGGGTTCCATTCGGCACTCTATCCAACTCTATGCATGCGGCTGTGGATTCTACACTGTACCGCATTCGCACTTCTATAGAACATAGAAGTAGCATGGGGAAACCGCAGAAAACCCATGCCGGTACAGGCGGTTCCTCTATTAGCAACCTCTTGCTCGCCGGAGCATTCCGTTGAAAAATTCGGTTTCACGGGGAATCGAACTCACAACCTTTCGCACACTAGACTTGCGTCTAATCCACTCGGCCACCGACGTCGGTTCTTCACCACGGATATTTTGCGCAAATAATTCCAACAAATAATTGCAGCAGAACAATCTTACCCGTCATGGCTGCCTCGTGTCATGGCGCCTGAGTGTGGGGAATTTTTTCCCCTAGCGTTCTAAAAGTGTCATGGCCGTTGATAGCTGTCAAAACATTGGGCCCACTCGTGAATATTGAGAAAAAGGGTGTATTTTCTTTTCTATTATCATATTTCGCGATAAAAATCAAAGTAAATATTGGGAAAAATTATGTAGTAGTGTTCGCTTCCTTTTCGTAATTTTTTTAATGGAATATCAGCGGTTTGGAATGGAAACATAAACATAACCTGCATCTCGTAAAAAAAAGTGATTTCTAAGTGAATAATTGTAGTAACAGTGCTATTTGAATCCTATAAGAAGCATTTCGATGCATTCATTGTGAATTTTTTCATGTTTCAGTCTGCAGAGTTGTGTAAATTAGTCACGTTGGGAGCAAAATTATGAGGGAAAGGAAATCAAGTCACAAGGCCTCACCAAAAAAAAGGGACAAATGGGGTCAGCAAGGAAGTGAAATTCAGGAGAAAAAAAGAGTATTCCACAAATTTCGAGATGAAGGATACCACCAACGGGAGAAAAAGCGACAAACGTCACAATCGTGTAGGAGATCAAGAGAGAGTGGTGGTACGAAGAATGACAGATTACATGGTAAAGAGACAAGAGACATAGAAGTCAGAGATGAAGAGTGGATAGCAGCAAGAATAGCAAGAGATGAGAAGCGTAGGAGAGAAGAGAGTGAACTCAAGGAAAATCTGAAGATACCAAAAAGAGGAACTAAGAGGAAATCAACTTGGAGACTGAAAAAACAGTGAGTATCAGAGACCATAGTTGATTTATTTATTATTGATTATTATTAGCTGGTTTATCCACAATTTGTGTCTAATTTGCATGACCAACTGTTTTTACTAAATAAAATGATTTCAATCCCATATTTTATGTATAATGATTGTCATAATCTTGCATTTTACAGAGTTTTGAAAGAACTGAATTCCAGTAAAGGGTCCTTGCCTCAACAAGTGCTCATGGAGATTTCTAGGCCCATGTACATCTGCGGTATTCATGTGAAAAAATGAAGTTAACAAGAGAGTGTAATGCGAATAAAAGAATTTATAAGTTTAGTCCAATGAAATTTATTCCATTTCCTTGTCATTTTTCCTGGTATCGTTTTAGAATGATTATTCCCTCTGAAAAATAAAAAAAAAATATTAATTGATGGAATGAACATAGAGTGCAGGTTAAGGCAAGTAAGAGGGAATATGCAGATTGTAAATCATTAGCCTTCACTGAAAGCATTCCAAAAAGGTGCCACAATAAGACCAATGGCTTAGTACCTCAGAAGATGTGATCAAGACCATGTGAATGGAGACAGAAAGAGACAGAAAATAACGTTGATCATTCAAAAGTATAGATTATGCAATTCCTGCCATAACAATCATATTTTCTGAGTTACAGTCTTTTATAAACACGGAACGAATAGCTTGCCATGAATCAGTAAGCGTAAGGAGATCAGTACCTGGTCCCCGTAATTTTCCATTTATTCGCATTGGATACATTGAAATAGAAGCATCGACCACTGTGCTTATAATAAATAGACCATGGTGCTCCATCAAAAATCATGTGACTCCAGATAACGTGACGACATGAACTATTCAGGTCTAACCAGAAGAGGCCAGGGCACGTGAATGCCTGGCTGACTCGACTGGAGGCTATGGGCAACCAGAAGAGGCCAGGGCACCTGAATGCTTGGCTGACTCCACTGGAGGCTATACAAAACCAGAAGAGGCCAGGGCACATGAATGCCTGGCAGACTCGACTGGAGGCTATACAAAACCAGAAGAGGCCAGGGCACATGAATGCCTGGCAGACTCGACTGGAGGCTATACAAAACCAGAAGAGGCCAGGGCACATGAATGCCTGGCAGACTCGACTGGAGGCTATACAAAACCAGAAGAGGCCAGGGCACATGAATGCCTGGCAGACTCGACTGGAGGCTATACAAAACCAGAAGAGGCCAGGGCACATGAATGCCTGGCAGACTCGACTGGAGGCTATACAAAACCAGAAGAGGCCAGGGCACATGAATGCCTGGCAGACTCGACTGGAGGCTATACAAAACCAGAAGAGGCCAGGGCACATGAATGCCTGGCAGACTCGACTGGAGGCTATACAAAACCAGAAGAGGCCAGGGCACATGAATGCCTGGCAGACTCGACTGGAGGCTATACAAAACCAGAAGAGGCCAGGGCACCTGAATGCCTGGCAGACTCAGCTGGAAATCGGTACGTGGAATAGGAGGACAGAGTGAAGAAGTACTCAGCAGATTGGAGTCGGACAAGTGGTTGGTTCAGTACTGAGAAGAGAACATGGAGATGGTATGATGAAGATGCTGAGAGAGGGTACCACTGTAAGGTGCACATTCTTTGATACCACTGGGATTGTTACTCTTGTGATTTATCCTTTTGTTTATTTGCCAAAAAGTCAATGATGCGTCCAATGATCAATTTGCTGTTAGTGAGAGATCGGTTTTGCTTCACCATTCTTGCGGATACTCGTAGCTAAACACAGTGTAACCCCTTCCCCTTAATTTTTTTGATAGACTTCACGAAGTTTCTCCATGGTGATACCTACTGTTGCAATTTTGTTAATCATTGATGTTGAGATTTTCCCTGATTTCAAGCACTCCAAAGCAACTACATTTGTCTTTTTATTTTTAGCATTATTCAGTTTGTCAAGCATCATTTTAATAGAAACCGAGTTATCAACCAAATTTTGTCTCCCAATTTTAAAGTACTCTAGCAAACCATTCAGTATCTGACAGTCGGCCAAGGCATCATGTGCACATCTCACTATCTCTTCCCAAGCGTCATCAGTGAGATAGGTTTTCGCTAGTAATTCCTGTTTCTTCATCTTGCCTTGCGATATGAGTGGTAATGTATCAACCACACCGGCCACGTAATTACAGAAACGAGGGAGGAGACCTAATTGCTGCAACCATCTCATGATCCTTGGGGCATCAAATCTAATAATGTTATGACCTACTAGGAGAACTTTTTCGCCACATTGCTGCAAAAATGCAAGAAATTGTTCAGCAGCTTCTGTCGGAGGGGTTGTTGTGAGGATTCTCTCATATTGATAGAGTTTCCCTTCCCTCACTGTAAAACCAGTGGCTTTGGACGCATCATCATGCATTTTCTTTGTGGGAAACATGAATCTGGAGAATTCCTTATCCTCACACTTAGCAGCGATCTGGATTATGCTATCCGTTGGCAGCAGCCCAGTTGTCTCAATATCGATGATAACGACGGAAGTATTACCATCAATTTTTGCTTCCTCAACTGCTACGTCAACCGGAAGGTCTATTGACATTCCAGACTGATAAGAAATTCCCTCCTTTCATTCTTTAGCGCTCTGTATGTGATGCTTCTTGAACTTTCGTTCCGCACGTCGACGTTTTGGAGACACTTGACATTGTTTTTGGGCCTCTTGCACGGGTTTCGCTTCATCTCGATCGCCATACAGTTTCGTGATTGCCCCTGGAAGTAATCCAGCCTTCAGGTGGATATCGTTTAGATATGTCAATCCAATATTCTTTTGGCATCTAGCAGCTGCAGTACGATATTTATAGGATAATGTCTCAGCATAATGTCTATTCTTCGGTGCTTTAGCTGCTACCATGTTGGTGAAAGACTCATTGGCTTGAGTTGAGCCTGCATCGGCTACCTTTATTATTCGTTCACTGAATTCTTGTAAAAGATCACGAAGAACCTGCTGAAATTTCAGATCTGTCAGTGGTTTACCACCTGGCAAATTTCGATGAACGTAATTTGGTTTGTTTTTAGCTGCGCACCAAGAGCCACAGTCCTCGTGTTTACCATAAACATGGTCAGCTATATTCAAGAGAGCCTTCTTGGCAGCTGCCGGGTGCTCTTTATTTTGATCAAGAGCGTAATTAAAATTCTTCTTCAAGGAGGGGATGACATTGGCTTTATTCAATTCTCTCTAAGTTGCACTGTATTTGTATAGCCGAGATCCAAACTTCTTACGGAAATGATTAGGATCAGAAAATCTCAAAATGGGATGTGGGGATTCCCTCTGTACAACAGCATATGTTCAGGCATCATCATCGCCAATGAACTCCAATCAGAACTCCAGCCTCCTGAAAATTTGGATTCTTCACCATGAGTTGTACTCCCATCGCGGCTTCCATAGCCTTGGAACTTCCAGACCAATTTTTTCCACAATCGTGAGGAGTGTCTGCCTTTCCACGAGCACATGTGGCACAAACTGCACTATAAGTGCCTGCTGCTAATAATTTTTTAGAAAGGGTCCCAATGACCGACCCTCACCCAGTTTTACTGTCGAAACCTCGTTTCGACCAGCCAAAATCATACGATCCAGTTAGGTACGTTATGTTAGGATCCGCGTTCGAGGGGACGTAAGGCCGTTTAGATCTGTTTTGCAAATTTCATGAGGTCAATCATGCGAGGAAAAATAGAATAATATTGATAAAGAATAAAGTCAGAGTAAAAATCTTCCAGTGATCTTCTAGCATTCATTGAGAGCTGCAAAAATGATTAAAGATAGCTAATGATAAGAGTGTGTTCATGAAGAAGATCGAAAAAACCAATGCAAGATTTAAAAAAAATTAGTGGTTTTCTCACATGCAATAAATTACCAATGCTGATGTTATATCAGCTTTCAGTATTTTCCCTCGATCGTCCTGGGTATGGCTAGAGAAATTGATTATCAATGGCTATATAATTCATCATTGTACTTAATTTAATAGAACAATTAATTCACATATTATTTTGATATCAGATTGATGCTATTTATGAGAACAAGGTCAGAAACCTGAGTTTTTTTTGACAAATACAGAATAAATGAGGAAAGCAGTACGCTGCCATTGAATCGGTTAATCTCATTGAGCATTTTCCAGGGTGGCATTCCTGTCAGACTTTTTCCCAATTGTTCAACGATTTTGACTCGATTTTGAGTAACAAAATTATGGAATGTGTTTTACTTACTCCTCAGTAGATGCTAATGCTGCAATTGTTAATTCCTTTTCCATCGCAATTACTTTTTTAAAAGAATCCTCGGCTACAGAAATGAAAGCTGGTCCCACGAGTTTTTCGGCTAATTTCAAAGTGGGTTCAGTAGGAGGAGGAATATTAAGCCCAGCCAGAAACTTCATCAATTGTCGATGACCTATTCCCGTATCAATTGAACCTATTCCAATAGTATAATTATCACAAGTTTCTAATAATTCGGAAATTGAATGTATAGGGTAATACTCACCAGTTGCTGCTCTACAATTGACATCGTATAACGAACGTTGTTTAGCGCGGGTGATTTTGCGGGTTGAGTACACTTTTTTCACCTCTGAATAATTAGCACATTTTATCATAAAAATAGATGCTAAACCGAATTTTTTTTCGTCTTCAATCATCAAAAAACCTAGTTGTGCTGAACACGAACACACCATCTGCTCACCAACATACCCAATATCAATGATTCGAGAGCCTTCGACAACACACTTTGGCTCGGTTTTAGACTCAGCACGAGCTCGCTTCGTTGCATTATAAGTTTCTAAGTTGCTAATGCGTTTTTCACGGTACTCAAGTTGGGTTTTTTTAATAAATCTTCAACTGAGTCGTACTCGATCCATGTTGAATATTACAGAGATCAGGAATGTTTACAACTGTCATAGAAATTCCCGCGCGTGAAGTCGGTGGGTTAGGTTGGGTTTTGGGTTAGGTTGTTTATGTTAGTAATAACTACGGATAATCAAGTGCGTCTTTTTATATCAATAATTTCGGAAAAAAGTGCTTATCCCGAATGCATATGTATCGGAATAATTTCAATAATTTTTTTCCAATTTATTGTAATTGTTTAGAAGTTATTGGCATGAATTTAAGAAATAAAAATAAACATGATTTTCAGTGGAGCTGTACTTCCGGAACGAGGCTTTCATTGTACCTTAAATCAATGTTTACGAATACTGAAACTGATACACATTACATTGAGCAAATCAGTATTTCATGGCTCAACGATCTATATATTCAGGAGTTGTAACATTGAATGTTTTCTTAACAGTGACAGACTTATGTAAGATTATATTCAACACTCATCCTAGTTATTCATTTGAAACTTCATGTTCTATATGCGGAAGCCGAATTATTCATAAAATATTAGTTTCTCTAGATTTAGATGCCATTATGATACTGAATTATCTAAGATTTGAACAAGTATTGAATATAACTATAGAAAAAATTTTGAATAATATAAATTTACAAGAATACATTTCATGTAAAGAATGTGTTGTAGAGAATATTATTTTTCATCATCAACTTTTCATAGAGTGTCCATCTGATTATAAATTAGCAGTTCCACTTTCGAATTTCCCTACGCTTTTTCACGTAAATTTAGAAGTATACAGGTTGGTTGGCATTGTGAATTATATAGACCCAACAGACATTCGTAATGATTACGACGGTCATTACACAGCTTACATTTTGAAGCAAAAAAATTGATAATAATTGATAGGTCATTACCCAATATCATCCGTGAAGTTGATTCAACTCATACAATCAATCCACATCTGGCTATCTATGTGAAGAGTTCATAGGAAAAATTATATATTCAAACGAATTTACGCCATGATGGGTTTTATTTTTCATTCTCTAAATGTTTAATTCTAAGAAGGCGTATTTTAAGCATGACATGTGACTTATTTTCAGAACTCTGAATTATTGCCTTAAAACTCTTTCGTAAATGTGCGTTTCTACCACTCTCGTGTGTACATGTCTCACCCTCACAGCAGTGTGCAAAGTATTACCAATTCAAACTCTTATGAAAGATGGTTCAACGGATGAAATATTCGGTGGTTAAGTTGGTTCATATCCTACACTTACTATCAGAATGGGTCATTTTTGGGGATAATCACATGCTAGTGTATGGATTATCATATATTTCTATTACAAGACTTAACTCTTTACTTTTTCACCTTTACAGTTGGTATTTAACAACAAAATCAAATTGATTCTTGTCTATATATATTTCTCTTCAGCAATAATTCCAAACGTTGAAATACAATAATGGCAAATTTGAATGTGAATTTCACACTAGCACATAATCCTGACACATCTTTATCAATGGAACCTCGTTCGTAAGTTAACAGTGTCTAACTTTCAAATGATTCTGCAGTTCATACTCTTCTTGTGTCGGTGAATGAACTTTGATATTTCAATTTTCAGATTCACTGGCTACATAAGATGTTCTCTTGATGTGGACTACATGAGCGGGAGAGCAATATATTATTGCATATTTTGCACAGCTTTGAATCAATTTTATAACTTTGCAATATTCGGACAAGATCTTGAATCAGATATTGAATCATCACTGAGTCGACGTAGGGTAAATTGATAATTTGATGTATAGATGAATCTGAATTATCTACATATTTAATTAAATATTTCATGATTGGTATTAGTTGATACATATAGCAAATGCTGTCCCGAACACAAGGAATCGGATGAGAAATATGATTCGCGATTGGGAAGAGGGATATTTACATCCTTTTGAATGGCGTGTATACAATATGTCACAAATAACGTTCTATGACCACATAGGATCTTCCATTGGTGAAATATTTAAATTGGAAAGTGAAGAAGATTGAAGAGATAAAGTAACCATTTCTTGGGCAGCACTGCATAAAATCAACAACGATATTGAAGTGACCAAAATCTGAAAATTAATATAATAAAGAAAATTCTATTCGATAATAAGAAACATCAACAATCGGTTTGAAATAAGAATTATTTCAAAGTCGTTTTTTTTGGTTGATGATTAATGATTTTTGGATGCAAGAAGCAATTCTAATTTTAAAAGAAAAAGGAATGACAGCGATAACTAAGAGTTGAATCACCTACCCCATAAAATACTTAATTTCAAAAATATTTTCATTTTATTATTATCGATAGAATCTGCTGCAAATATCGCTAAAATGGCCATCATCTGCCTTCAGCCAAAAATTGAAATTTCGGAAACAAAAGATATAGTTACTGAGAGAACAGAATGTAAAGTAAGCAGAATACGGATTTAAGTAATGAAAGATAAATATTTTTTAATTATCGAGAATCGTAGTGATGACAAAAAGAGCAAATTATAATGATGAATGTTTGCAGTGATATAATTTTTTTTACGCTTTTCCTCATTATTTCATTTGAATAATCGAAATGACGCCCATATTGTTGCCACATACGACCTTTGCGGCGAGGGGATTGGACCGAAACAGAAATAGTACCAAGCGTCAACGCTTCAGTTAACTATGAACTACCCCACTATTGAACACATTTACACTGAGACAT